AAGAAAACAAGTAAAAACCTACTTATTTTTTCTAAAAAATATTTTCCAAGAACATTTTTCATGGAAAATATTTTTTTTTTATACCGAACACACCCTTAATCTTTGTTTTATGGTATCTGACTCATTTGTTCTCCATTTCGGATTTTGAGATTCATATGTGGTTTTCTTTGATGTCATATGTTTATATGTATTTTAAATATTTTAAATTGTCAATTGTTATAACTTATCGTACTTTTTACATAGTTTTCTAGATTCGATTGACAGTTATTAATTTCTTTATGAAATGCTTATGATAGTTGGAAGAAAACTCTGTAGCCCACCAAGCACATTGGCATACTACTGGAGAGCAAAATATACAATTCAGACAACAACCTGCTCAGTCAGAGGGGTTCTTTCAGCCTTTACAATACAATACTAATATAGTGCCAAACAGGTAATTTATAATTTTATGTTTTTTTTCCTTTAAATAGCACATTTTTTGCAACATTTTAAATTGAACCATTGAATTGAGTCGCTGAGAGGCGAATTCAGAATCTAAAGTAATAGATACATTCAAATTAATTTCTTTGTATATTAATCGAAGTGAGTCATGTCGTAAGTCTAGAGATGAATTCAGAATCTAAAGTAATAGATACGTTCAAATTAATTTCTTTGTGTGTTTATTGAAGTGAGTCATGATATTGTTAGTCTAGAGGCGAATTCAGAATCTAAAGTAATAACTAATAGATACATTCAAATTAATTTCTTTGTGTATATTGAAGTGAGTCGTGTTGTAAGTCTAGAGGCAAATTCAGAATCTAAAGTAATAGATACATTCAAATTAGTATCTTTCTTTGTGTATTTATCGAAGTGAGCCATGTAAGTTCTAGAGGCGAATTCAGAATCTAAAGCAATAGATACTTTCAAATCATTTTTTTTGTGTGCATTTATTGAAGTGAGTCATGTTGTAAGTCTAGAGACGAATTCAGAACCTAAAGTGATACATACATTCAAAAAAAATTCTTTGTGTATTTATAAAGTGAGTCATGTTGGAAGTCCAGAGGAAAATTCAAAATCTAAAGTATATAATAGATACATTCAAATAAAAAAAAAATTGTATATTTATTGAAGTGAGTCATGTGTTAAGTTTAGAGGCGAATTCAGAACTTGAAGTATTAGATACATTCAAAATAATTTATTTGTGTATTTATTGAAGTGATGAGCCATCTTGTAAGTTGTAGAGGCGAATTCAGAATCTGAAGTTCACGTAGTAACAGGTACAATCTGGCTCCATTGGATAATATAGAACCATCAACTCAGAATGCTACTGGAATTTTGCCTGGATGGATGCTTTGAATGGGAAACAAGTTCTCTTACCTTTTACAAGCAATTAAGTTGATGAAAGTTTGAGATTGGAAAGAACCAATAAATGTTATTTCTTTCATACATACAAGTTGAGTTTTTAGTGTTTCAAAAGACTAATTAGCTTGCATGTTTAGTAAATTATTGAGTATGCAAAACCATAATGATATATATGTCATGTAATAAGTCAAACATACATTTTCTATTTTGGACCATTTCTCGACTTGTGCGTGACATACTAATCTTCTCTGTATCGTTTCAATTTTATCTGATCTCACCAAACGGATCGGACTACATTATCTATTTTACTTCTTGTTTTAGTACTTAAATTCTTATGGAATTAATGCTAGTAGATGCACTTACTAACCTTATTGTGACCATAGTTTATAACTTGAGCCTCTACTACATTATTGTTGATGCAACAACCAAAAAATTCAAAGGTCATTGTTAATTGACCATATATGGTTGTTTACCCTTAAATCAGTACGGTTGAATTTATATATGTGGTTCTAGGATATAAAGATTGAGATAACCACAATAAGAAGATAGTTTTGTGCTTATTTTTCTTTTATAATAATTCATCTAAGTGATTATATATTGTTTCAACGTAAAAGAACGAACTAGATCATAGGGGGGAAAAAACGTTGTGGTGTACTGATGGATCATAACTGTTTTATTCTTAATCAGAGATTTCAAGTTCGAGTTCTAGTATGGGCAAAATGTTGTTTGGAGCGCCACTCTTAGGGCTTCAATATGGACTCCAGACACCAAATGAGAAAAAAGAAGAAGAAAGAACTAGACTTTGTCAAGAAACTAAAAGAAAGAATTAGATCAACATGAGTTGTGGTGAGTGGTGAAACTACTTCATTCTTAATTAAAGGTCTCGAGTTCAATCCCTGAATATGGAGAAAATCTTGTTTGGACTTAGAAATATCAATAGAAAAAAAGAAAAAAAAAAGAACTAAGACTTTGTCAAGAGAGAATATGAAAATATAATAATGATGTTCATAGCCCTGGAAAAGTTAAAGGCACAAATTAAAGATGTATAAAGAGTAGATATTTGAGTGAGCTAACTAGAGTTAACATATTGTACTAAAACTTGTGTAATAACTGTTAGGGTTCATAGTATATCCAACATGTATTAAAGGAAATAGTTGTGTAGCCAATCAATACTAGACAACAAATCCTTAAACACATAACATTAGTTATATATTGTGGTTATCATTGTCACCTCCCATATCATGTCTTATATCCTTTTATTATCATGTACTTGCTTTTTCAGACAACCTCTCATTTTCTTTCTTAACCTAATATTCCTCTCCATTTTCATGTCACTCTTTGTTCACTAATTTATTATTTTATGTAACTTGCTAATGACAAGGATGGACTTATCTCTAATAGATTAATAATTAGGTCATTTACGCATAATAAGTTAGCTTGTTTTAGTAACCTTGCGATAATTACTAGCTCATCTAGGGAGAATATATATTTTAGCTAACTCATGTGTAACTCATTAACATATTTATATACACTTAAAAACCTTTTTATTAAGTGTTATTCATTTAATTTCTAATATTTAGATTGCTTATAATAATTAGAGGTGATAAAATGAGTGTTTTTTTTTTTAAGCAGGGTGTCAAGTCAAACATGAATAAGTACTGAGTGGTAGTTTGTTCTTTTACATTTCACAAAAATGGGTTTTTGTTCACTTTTTGTTGTAATATAAAAGAAGGTGGTACCAAGGGTTAATTCCTTTGTGTGAGGTAAACAACAAGTTCAGGGTTTCTATTTTTAGGTAAATTATTAAAAATTAAAGAAGAGTTGGTTTAATTTGGTGAAGAAAGCTCAAGAAATCTATGTGTTTTGTGATGCTGAAGTTCCTTTGATTATTTTCTCACACAATGCTGAAGTTTCTTTTTAATCTGTCTAATGACTTACTTTTCTGTGTAGTCATCGGTATAAAAAAAAATGGCACATTTCTATGTTAAGTAGTAATTTAACTTTAAAATATATATTTTACCCTTAATGAAATGATTTATAGTCACACAAATATTTATCACTTAGTTTAGATCACATGTTTCACAAGTCTTTCTTTCTTAAACTTTGTGTTGAGTCAAACTAACTCAAATAAAATGGGACGGAGGGAGTAGTTAGTCTTTGAAAAATGACATATTTTCATATTTAGTACTCTCCGTTTAAAAAAGAATGACCTAGTTTGACTTGACACGAAGTTTAAGAAAATAAAGAAGATTTTTCAATCTTGTAATCTTGAATTAAAGCTATGTCAAAAGTACTAAAATGCTCTTTAATCTTGTGGCGTTAAACATGCATGTCACATGGAAAATTGAAATTATAGTATTGTCAAAAAAGGAAAGGTTTCATTGTATTTTAAACAAGCGAAAAAGAAAAGTAGATCATTCTTTTTTATACGAAGGGAGTAACTATTTCACTTAACTGTTTATTTTACTCTTAATGAGATACTACAATCACATATTTTAATAGTCTTTCTTTCTTAAATTTCATTCTAAACAACATCGAATAAATTTGAACGGAGAGAGTATCTTCTGTTTTTCCCTAAGAAATTGTTTCTTGTAGGGTTTATTCTACTTGCTCATTTATACAGTATTTATTTATTTGTTTTGCTATATAGACTTGCTTGTCTTAGTAGTTCTAGCTTCTAGATATGCATGATGAGTAGTGACTTTTCCTGTTAGATTTTTTTAAAATTTATGTATAACTTTGTTTCATATTACTTGATTTATGTTGATTTGACACAATTAATCTTTAACAAAGCTTTTATTAAGAGTGTATTTACTAAGTTAATTTTATTAATTTGAAACGCTAAATTTGATTACATTACTATTACTATCATTACTAGAAAATATGGAATTAGTTTAGAAATTTGTCGAAAATCCCCAACTAATTCATTGCTAAATAGCCCCTAGTTAATTGAATTATATTTGGGTAATTTATAGCTAATCTGTAGCTAAATAAGAGTAGCATGATATTTTTGTTTGTTAGCTATGGAAATTTATGGTCGCTATTTTCTTTCTTCTTTCTGATTTTGCATATTATTACTACTTAATACATTTCCAAGATAAATGTACAGCTACTTAGGGATAGCTATGAAACCTAGCCACAATATAACAGTTTAATTACATTCCCAACAAATCTTCCTTTTTCTTTTGGGTTAAAGGCAAAGAATTTATTATTTATACTCACTCCATTCATGCTCATGAAGTATATGTTTTACTATACTATGCATATTAATTGATATATAATTTCAAAGAAATGATTCAGAGAATTATGTTTATCTTGATATGCTAAAGTGAATAAGTAAAAATCAAAATATGTTTTTTTCTTCAAAATTTGAATTTTAAGTATCCAATTGAAACACTTTATTAGGAGGTGTTAAATTGAAATAAGACCTAGTTCAAGTGTCTAAAGGGAATAATATCCTAACAAGTTTATGGGGTTGCCTCTTCACTTGAACCGAGGGTAGTTTATCTACCTCCACGAAACAGTGATAAGGTCTGTGTACATTCTACCTTACCCAAACTCCACTTGTGAAGTTTCATTGAGTATGATGTTGACTGTGTATCAAGCCAAAAAATAATGAACATGTATCCTCTTTTTTTCTGTAAGGCAGAAAGAAGATGTAAGTTTCAAAAGCTATGAAATACAATAATAACAACAGAAAAAACATTGATTCAGAATACCTTCTGGGTAAATAAAGAGTGTATACTAGTCTAAAATCATCTTAGAAAACAAACTCCGGCAACCATTTCGCGAATAAGGTATCCATCTTGGAGGTCAGAAGGAAGAAATAGAGTACTTGTAAGCTATACAATCTCCGCTACAAAGTTCAGTAGGAGGACTGGAGTAATTACAAAATCTGTCATTTCTACTACAAAGACGCAAATCGTTGCACCCAGGTACCTTGCAAAAGCACCCTACAAAGACGCTCTGCACCGTGTGCATATGCAGGCTGGGAGAGCTGCATCAACAACTTCAAAAACTTATCTTTCTGCCTTCAATAAGAAATTGCAGCATAATTAAGTTAGTACAAGGCATAATAACTTCTGTAAACACTCTTAACAAAGTAGATAATTACTTCTTCATTCAATGTCTGGCATGCCCAACAGTGGATAACTGGTGTCAGCAGATCCAAGAAGGGGAATATACTCCGATCCTCTTACATGAACACTAAAACAAGCTGCAGAACAATCAGTTGCATAAGAGATACGCCTCGAGTTTTTTCCAGATTCAGTTACTAGTAACTAACTATTTCCACTTCGTCCACAACTAAATACAGATATTGACTGCACAAGCTCAAACTAAAACAATAAATTAAACGCAAACATATTGTTTTAAAATAGGATGCTTTATGAAAGGTAAAATATCCACTAAAAGCTGCAGGAAACACCAGAATATCAAGTCTCCTTTACAGGTTCCAGATGGAATCTGCATACCCGACTACCTAGTGCAACAAAATAATTGAATATATTACTCAATTGTAATTAGTCAAAAGTGTCAAACATTGAATGAGAACTTAAATTACAGTTATTATACATGGAACACCAAGGTGAACCACACACGAGAATGATTTAAATTATTCGGTAGCCAGAGCACATGCAAATTTTGGATAACGATTTATTTCCTGTGCATCCAATTAAAAGCTTTTGAATATATTACTGATAAGAAAAAACTTATGAATATACACAGTTTGAAATGAACAAACCCCTGAGACTGAAAACAAAAAGATTACTGCCTGACAGAATTGCTTAAAAACAGTTGTGTTTACACTGTCCTAAAGCAGTATTTAAGTAGTTAGGTTAGAACTAAGGTACAAAGAGAAAGAAATTGGTCGTAGACAACAGCTGAAGACTATACCATTTTCTATCTTCATCACACTCTGGAGCATTGTTTCCATTTTCTGTTTCATGTCTGAACTGTCATCCATCTCCGGGGCAATAAGAGTAAGGTTCCTGTAAATTTCACGCACAAAACTGCAGATCTTCTCTGCAAAATCAAGTTCCCCTTCTGAAATTCGACCGATTGCTAACCTCATTAATTCTCCTGTCAAGTCCGCAAGCTAAAGTGGAAAAGTTAGCAATATGGCAATATTTCTTAGCATTGCTTAACTTGAAAAATACAAACAGATGAGACGCTTACCCCTAAGATATAGTCTAAGATGTTAATCTGCAAGGGTTCAACAGAAGGATCACTTAATGGGAGCAAGGTCGCATTCATCTCATCAAGAGTTAATAGAGTCCCTGTCTTGCAGAAATTACAAAGTGTTGCAGCTTCAACATATTCTTGAACCTACAAGTTGGAAGAGCACAGAAGCCAAGTCAAATTAGGATATTTCTAAGTCTTTAGAAGCAAAATAAGACCAACTGACCCACCCCAGGAGAATATGCTCGTCTTAGCTTCCAGAAATCAGTCCCTTGCAGTTCCTTAACTAGCCGGGACAAATATTGATCAGTCACAGCTGCCAGATCTTTTACTGCTTTATCCAGAACTTCCTCTTTGTTCTGCTTGCTCATTCTGTTAGTGAAGAAGGGAAGAACAAAAAACTAAGATAATCTTTCACCTTACATAAAATTCAACAAAGTGGAGCAGATGAAGATAAATAGCTATCCAACATTTGACATGTTTTGACTGCATAGGTTAAATAAGCACAAATAGAAACTGTGCTGGTACTGGCATACTACATACACATTGAGACACAAGCATCAGTTTCAAACATGTTGTTCATGTGGAAAACTGCCTTGAAGATGATAAGATTTCAAGCCATACATTAGCAAGAATGTGCGAGAAAAATGATTTACAGCAGCAATGCATAGATCCAGGACCCAGGTATACTGAAGACCACATACAACCATCTGCACAGCGCATATATGATACAACAAGAAGCATAAAAGAGAAAAATAGAGCATCACCAGCTCCACAAGAAAATTCATGGGCAGCGACAGATTTGATACCTGTGCACTTGAAAAATGACCTTCTTGCTGTTCATAGTAATATCACGGCTGGCTTTCACCACCCTTTCTCGCTTATCATTCTGCATCATACACAAACAGAATTCATATATCACAATTCCATGTGAATTTTGATTCTTCTATACTCAAAAGTGACTTTTCTCCATCATCAATTTGTTTAAAGCTATAAGCAGCTAACATAAGAACTTATTCAGAAACTAGCAAGAATAATTTGTGTAAGTGTTCTATGCCATCAATCCTCACTCAAGAACTTTCTCTTTTCAAACTAGAACTTGAATTTGAAACAGAGATTTATCTCTTCAAGCATGAACATACTCAGACATGTTTTTTTTGAAACTGGTAACAACTAACATGTATATATATAAATATGTATTAGATATGCACCATCACAGTGCTATCTACAATTACAAAAACCCAACCATGCTTAGGACTACAGCTTCACAAGGAACCTATCATATCAACTAGTGACTCAATCTCCTCTACATAGCAAAAATGAAACAAAAGAATACATATCATCTTGACTTTCTGCACATACTCAGACATGTATTCTCTAGTTTTGACAAGAGAGTCATCTGGATATGTATAACTGCAAAATCAGCGGTAGGTACATAGAAAATACATTCATCTTTTCACAAATAAACTTCCTTCTCTCTAAAATTATCAAAAGTAAATAATCTTCCTTTTTTCTGGTTTTTGATAGGTGAACAGAGCCATCCATTCAATAAAGCACAAATTTTTGCATTGCTATATGATGTTTAGATTGGGAAAATATTTGACTCTCAAAATAAGTGGCACAAGCTGAAAACATGATAGTAAGTTCGTTCAAATGTTCGCCATCCAAACCATATGATCTTAATTTGACTACAGAATTTCCAGTTCACTTCTCTCCTGCTTAGCTGAATACCAATACCATTTGGTTGTAGTAAACAACAGAAGTTCTACAAACATACTTTTACATTTTCCTGCATTAAGTTTGCAAGAACGTTGTGGCTGGTGAAACTAGACCTGGAAACTTGACCACATGAAAGCCACATTTTACATATCAAGTTGTAAAACTATGGGATTTGGGGAAAACTATAGGTAACCAGTTGTATTCTTAACATCAAAAACATGTTAAGAGGGTTCTTTTACAGTTTCAAAAGGTAAAAAGGACTCCTATTAAAAAAAAACCATGCATTTAAACATTGCCAAACAAATCTATCAAGTCTCTTGCTTCCCCCGACATGTTCTGTTTACACCAAAAGTAAAAAAGACTAATTTTCTTAATGGTATTGCTTGTCTTCAAAATGTCTGGGCATATTGTCCACCAGATACAAGTTGGGATGATCTGCCACCAATCCTCCGCAACATTTCTTTTCCACACATTCTTCCGGTAGCTTAGCAACTCCTTAGTAGAACTGAACAAAAACCAATTTCTACCCAAAATACACAAGAACAGGTACCACCCTCTGGTCATGTTCTAGGTCGACGAATTCTTCAAATTCTAGCCTACTTCAGTGACATTTTCAAAAATAATCACAACTAAGAGTGTATTCGGCATGAAGGGAAACATTTTCCAATGAAAAATGACTTCCCTGATGAAAGCAGCAGGGAAAATAAGTTCCGACATTCCACATTGGTTGTTTCCTCCCCACCCTCCAACACACCTCATCTTCACCTCTCCCCATAGCCCTTATCCCCACCATCCCACACCCCTACCTCCACCTCCCATGGTAAACATTTTCCTTCATACCGAAGACAAACCCTAAATTACTACCTTTTATACTCCTAAAACACACCAATTCAATCACCCAAATTTAAGGAAAACGCAAATAAATAGCTTTAAATCACGACACAGACATATACAAGTGAATCAAGAAAACAAAAAGGAAGAAACTTAACCAGGTTATTGAGGTAATCAGCATATTTAGAGAAGCCATCTTTCATTGATAATTCAGTGTCAGTTTCAGTACTCATTGTTCTCGCCTTCTTCATTGCGCTTTGCCAAGTTGTTCCCACCACTATTCAACAAAAAATGAACCAAAAATTCAAACTTTATTATTCCTTGAGAAGAGAGAATTAGGGTTTATTGTTGGAAGTGAGAACTTACAGTGACGAATGCGCTGGGGTTTTGGTGCCATAACTATGAAAGATAACTTGGAGGCGTACAACAACATGTGTCCTTCAGCGTAAAAAAAGAGAAAATGTTTGCCATCTTTTAATTAGTTTCTTTTTTACGAGTATTGAAAATACTTTTTAAACTCGTAGAATTATTAACTTTGTTTTCGAATTATCGGTAGTTTTAAAAATATTTTTTACTTTGACTAACTTTAGATTGATGACATAACAAGAAATCTCAAATTTTTGTAGAAGCATGAAATTTTTAATAAAAAGTTGAGAAAAGTATTGAAGACAATCCTAAATTTATTGAGAATTTAGGGGTGTATTTTCATTCTTGTTGCAAGATCGAGTGTGTATTTAAGTTTAATCAGTCAAATAAAAGGATATTTTTAAGGCTGTTAACAGTTTAGAATGAAATTAATAATTCATGTCGAAGTTGGAGGTGAGAGAAATATTGAAAACACCCTTAAACTTGACGCAAATTATTAGTTTTATCTTTAAACTATTCATAGCCTTAAAAGCACCTTTCTAATTGTCTAACGAAACTTAAATACACCCCCGATATATCTCAGATCAGTCACATAACATAACAAATGGTTTCAAACTCTTATACGAGCATGATAAAAAGCCGAGAAAAGTGTTGAAAACACCTCTAAACTTGATGAGAATTTACGAGTGTATATCACTCATGTTGCAAGACCGGGGATATATTTAAGTTCAATTTAATCAAGCAAAGGAGTGTTTTTAAGATTATCAATAATCTACACCAACACTAGGAATGTTTTCAATATTCTTTTCTTCTACCATTTTGATAATATTTTCATAGACTTTTAATTCAAATAAAGCATATCAAAAATCAAATATGTAAATGCAAAAATTTGAGTCTTAAATTTTGACACGCAAAAAAGCGCCTAACTACTGCCAGTGTGGCGCCAGCAGGACCGTCGATCTTTTTAAATCCAAACTATATATAAATGCTCTGCGAAAAATTTCCCACAGAAAATACCCACAGAATCTGCAGTCTCAGAAAAGCCAGCGAAAATGGTGAAGCTAGTGGTGGCGACGACGGTGGATCCGGCATCAAATTGTCCGGCGAAGGAGCTGTTAGCTATGCCAGGTTGGCAACCCGGGACCACCTTGGATCAATGTATCAGAAGTTTCAGTAATGGCGATGTCAGGCTATTGGAGCATGACAAAGGCATTGTTGAAGAAGATGATTTGGATCAACGTTGGGAGAATGCTACTGGTCAGACGGTCGATGAGGTTATCTTCCTTAGTAAACACACTGCTGTGTCTAACCGCCCCGCTCTCACCATTCACCCCATTGGTATGTAGCATAATAGAGGTTGATTCAGAATTTAAATTCTATGAGCTCAATTTTAAGGTTATTAGCATTTGAACTTGTTATATTTTAAAATTTATGGGTTCAGACCTATTAATTGTTTGCAATTTTGCTATAAAGCTGCATCTGCCTCTGTGTAATTGTAAATCTCTTGTCTCATTTTATATGAGGGTGTTGGATTATATATACTGTGTTGAAAATTAATTGTGCTGATGAATATATTACTACTATAATGTGTGACCTAGCTTTCAATAAAGTTGGTGGGAACAACATAGTTCAAATTACAGTAGAGGCAAAAAAAGGCTAGGTGACTCCATTTGTCTAAGTTTGGTGAATAGAGTTGTCCTCTATATGTGCTGATAGGATGCAGAAGCTACATAACTGGATTAGTCTAAGTGCGACATACCAAGCAAAACACCACCTTTTTAAGAAATGAAGGAAAATACTCCCTCTGTTTCAATTTGTTTGTGTGGTTTCGACTTGGCATGGGGTTTAAAAAAGTAAAGAAGACTTTTGAATCTTGTCATCTTAAACTAAAGATATGTACAAGGTATCAAAATGTCCTTTAATCTTGTGGTCTAAAGAGTTGCCACAAAGGGTAAGAGACATTCTTTTTTTTAAACGGACTAAAAAGGAAAGTAGGAGAAATAAATTGAAACGGAAGGAGTATAGTTAATGGTGTCAATCATTTTGAACATCACCAAAATGAAGAGAGTGGTATATAAGTTTTGTAGGGATGGAGTATTATATTACTGAAAAGCAATATTATAGAACTAGTATATTTAAATGTATTTGAATTCTTAGAAGTTGTAAAAACTGATTAGGATAATATCATTATTTGAATGGTTATCAAACATGACGAAGCTTCCTAACATGGAAAGAATGTTTATAAATTGGTAGAGAGTATGGTAAAATTTGATGTATGGAACTTAGATATTTGCAGCACCTTAATGAGGTCCTAATTATGTTCAATGTTTGTTAGGGGTGCCACATTTGAAAGAGGGGGATGTTCCACCACAAGGAGGGAAGCCAGGGTGGGCGGCTCCACCAAATCCAAGGATGGGGCCATGGATGATTCTTTTGAATAAAATTGCTGAATCTCATAATCTCATTCCCGAATTTGAAGTATGGCTCTTTTCTATACCAGTTCTATGATCAAACTTCATGGCTCTTAAAAAAATTATTCTTCTGCTAGATAATCCTGGCAATTTTCACCAAATAACTTCTTTCTTTTGTTTTCCATTTTGCCTCTACTTGACATGTAATATGGAGTGAATACTAATACTATTGTTTCCTTGCTGGTATAGATCACCTTTGAAGCTACTCATCATGGACCCGTGACAACTAAGCCAACAATGTTTATCGAGATAGGTAAGCTTCATGAAGTACTATTTATTGGTTTACTTTTAGTTCCTCCTTAAAATTGGAGTTCACCCCATAAAAAAAAATAGTTCAATGTGCTCTATTTCATGTCTTATGCATTCATGTTATATAGCACTTATTAAGTGGAATTAAAGCTCCATAATTTCCAAGAGGTCCACAAAATTCTGCATTTGTCAGATAAACAGGCCATAAATGGAACAGAAGGGAGATCTAGAAGTTTACTATACCAATTGCAGCAGAGTTACATATGATTCAAGTAAAATCTAAAATTGGGTAGAAGAAAATGGTACCAGCACTGATTAGTGATTACGTATTAGCTTATTTTTCTTTCCCCTTCTATAATTTTAATATGAAAGAAGATCATAGTGTTCAAATAGAGAGGAAGAAACACAAGATTAAGAACAGGAAGTTTTCACAGAGAGAAATGTAAGGATGAGGGAACAAGGTAAATCTTCCTAAATGCTAAGCAAGCAGAGGTGTCCAATTGGGTTGTAAGTCAGTTATAAAGCAGATAACTAAGCCATTGCCTTGGTTCACATTGAACTCTTTTCTGTAGTGTAGACACTCTTTTTTCTCTTTCTGGGGTATTCCTTGGCTTTTCTAACATAATAATAACCAAATTATGCAAGACTCAATTTGATAGTTGAAGGAGATAGGTTCACAAGACTTCTACAGTTCTACTTAGGCAAGCACCAGATTGCTTCATTTTTTTTGTGTGTCCATTTTATTGCTTCTAGGATAGTATCCCTTTTATATACTTAGGCTGATATAGACTAACTCTGTTTTTAGATTTCTCTCTGTTCATCTCTACCCTTTTTTCTTTGTTTTTTTCCTTTTTATAGTGATTTGGAGTGGGATGCCATTAATTTTGTGCACAATTAGAATGCTGAGTCTATATAGTTATTGTGTCCCCTTTTTCTCTACTAGTTATCTCTTTTCTCTGCTTCAACAATAGCACAAGTTTTACTCCATCACTTACTTCATCAGCTATGTGGTTTGTGAAACTAATTACTTGCTTGATCTAGGTAGCACTGAGGAGTACTGGAGGAGGCCAGATGCTGCTCAAGTTGTTGCTCTGGTGAGTTTTGCTTTGTTATTGGCTGCTTTACTGGTCAAGGATGTTTCTATCTTGGAAGTCTTATATTTGCAACTTTAGTTGGTCTGCGAAGGACTTTCTTTGGTTTATTTAGTTCTCTTATGGTATCCGTCTGGTCTATCCAAAAACATCAACGCTTATGTATTTTGATTTTCTCTAACACATACATGTTGTACTCACAGTTAGTCTGGGAAGGACTTGGACTTGGAGGAGGTCCTCCTGTTGGAAACTGGAGCAGGTATCATTTACATCTGCAAGTTTTTCCCCTATATCCCTCAAACATCCTAGGCTCTTCTTTTGACTGAGCATTCTCTTCTCTCTGACGAAGTAAATTGTTAGAATTGAGTGTGTGTATCGACAACGTCCTAATCCTTACCCCACCTCCCAAGCAAAGAAAAGAAACTGAGTACAGCAAAGGTGAAGTTTTGGGGACACATTTATATTGCAAACCCACATTCTTCCTTATGTTACTTTTACTATTGCTAGCATTGATTTCAGAGGCAGAGCTCCCTTATTTTATTTTTTCAGTTCTCATATCTGGATTCATAATTTTTTATTGTTCTTTCCTTGCAACTTATTAGTCTTCTGTTCCCATCAACATGCGACCCACAGGTTTGCCTTCTGGGTCAAGCTCGTCGCACCGGGATTGCCTAGTGCGGGTTACCTCTCCTGTGTGGTTTGCGAGTTATTGCATAGGAGCGGGGATTTTACCCAGTGCACACCCAATAGGTAGCGGCTGCGGGTTTTCCTTGTCATAAAAAAAAATATATCTATTAGCGACCTGCTCATTTCATTCCAGTTACTTGCAAAATATGTCATAATCAAATATCGACCTGAGCCAATGCGCACCGGCGTCCTACTTAAGTTTTTTTTCTGGAATTTAGAGCCTCATCTTCAGAGTATCCGTTTACTCTTTTCTTCTGAAGCTTCTCTCATGTAAAATGAAGCAAGAAGGAATTTTGGTTTCTTCAAGACCTTTTTTTTCATTCTCCCATAGCCTTCACAAGCTTTATGTAGTCGTGCTCTTCTTTATAACTTTGGAAGTTCTCAGCAAGAAGCCACATGTTGTTAATGAGGCTGCAACAGAGCAGAATATGATCTCCTATTTGGAGCATGAGAAAGCCTTTTTAAAGTATAAAATGGTCCAACGTGACCAGCATGATAATCAAGAGGCTAACCAACTTGCACTTCCTGGTTCTGGTTTTGATCGAGGAGTGAATTTGGTAAACCCAGACTCTGTTAATCTCTGTTCTGCCAGTCCTATGGTTTTGTTGTCCACAATTTTTGCACCT